CAAATAATCACCATCCAGCTTTGGTCAGAAGGGATTAAAACTTTTATCTTCCAGACAGCAAATTTGAGATTTGAGGGGTGGGCTCTATTAATTTTGGGATGAATTAGCATAAAAGCATGTTTTTCTTATGATTTCACAGATTTAATTAGGTCAATTATCACTCAAATTTGCAATGGAGTCATTTTAAAGAAAAACTCCCCATGTGTCCCCTGAACTGGCTGAAATAATGGCCATCCAGCATTGGTCAGAAGGGATTAAAAGTTTTATTTTCCACACAGCAAATTTGAAATTTTAGGGGTGTGCTCTTTTAATTTTGGGATAAATTAGCATGAAAGCAAGTTTTTTTAATGATTTCACAGCTTTAATTAAGTCAATTATCACTTGAATGTGCAATGGAGTCATTTTAAGGCCAAAAAAATCAAAGAAAAACTCCCCATGTGTCCCCTGAACTGGATTAGAGTCATTAAGAAGCTTTTTTTATTTATCCAATTATTAATAGATGCCCAAGTTAGAGTAAAACAGAAGCTTTTAGCAAAAAATAAGAAATAATGATCATTCAGGTTTTGTCAGAAGGGATTAAAACTTTTATTTTCCAGACAGCAAATTTGAAATTTTAGGGGTGGGCTCTATTCATTTTGGGATAAATTGGCATGTTTTTTTTAATGATTTCACAGCTTTAATGACGTCAATTATCTCTCAAATGTGCAATGGAGTCATTTTAAGTCCAAAAATATTAAAGAAAAACTCCCCATTTGTCCTCTGAACTGGATTAGAGTCATTCAGAAGCTTTTTTTACTTATCCCATTATTAATAGATCCCCAAGTTAGAGTAAAACAGAAGCTTTTAGCAAGAAATAAGAAATAATGATCATTCAGCTTTGGTCAGAAGGGATTAAAACTTTTATTTTTATGTTTTTTTTAATGATTTCACAGATTTAATTACGTCAATTATCACTCAAATGTGCAATGGAGTCATTTTAAGCCCAAAAAGATTAAAGAAAAACTCCCCATTTGTCCTCTGAACAGAAGCTTTTAACCAGAAATAAGAAATAATGATTATCCAGCTTTGGTTAGAAGCTAAAACTTTTAATATGTAAATTAATTGGCATGAAAGCATGTTTTTGTCTGATTTCACAGCTTTGTGTACATCAATTACCATTTCAGCCTCTTCAGAGGACAGTTTTTAAAAATCTTTCTGGCCTTAAATTGACTTTTTTGCAGTGATAATTGACGTAATTAAAGCTGTGAAATCATAAAGAAAAAACATGCTTTTATGCTAATTTATCCAAATATGAATAGATTCATAAAAAAAAAACATGATTTTATGCTAATTTATCTAAATATGAATAGATTCCACCCCTAGATTTTCCAGTTTCAAAGTCAGAATGCGTTCTGACCAGAGCTGGCTGATGGTTTTTGGTTATTTGGGGTTATTCAGTGTTGGTTATTTGGGGTTATTGTGGGTTATTTGGGTTCGGTGTTGGTTATTTGGGTTCGGTGTTGGTTATTTGGTGTTATTTGGGGTTATTCGGTGTTGGTT